TTTTTTTTTTTTTTTTAAGCTGAGCCATCCTGCCACCTGTTGGCAGCTCATCAGCAGGTGAGCTAGGGCCGGGAATCAAACCAGCAACTCTGGCAACTCTGTCACTCAGAGCTCGCTTTCTTGAGTGAGCTCTTAACCAACTGAGCCACTCGTCCGGCCTCCAGGATTTCTTATGTGGTTGCAATCAGACAGTGGCTGGAGCTGGAAAAGTTGGGGGGTGGAGAAGCTGGGGGTTGGGTGGGTACCTCTCTTTTTATGTAGGCTCAAGCCTTCTCCATGTGATCTCTCCAATAGGTTAGTTTGGGCTTCCCCAGAGGGTAGATCTTTGGAGAGGGCCATGGTCTCATGTTGGGGTTCCCCAGGAAGTAGACTCTGAAATGGAAATAGCATTCAGAACATTTATTGGGGGTATGATATTGGATTCAATATCTGTGGAATGGAGAAGAAGGAAGCAGGATTAAGCAGTTGGAGAAACTGAATGGCAATGCAGGCCCTGGGGGGTGCTCTGGAGCTGGGATGAATGACCCTTCAGAATTAGTCTAAGTTGGGGCAAAAGGCTGGCTGGGCCTTTATACCTCTGTGTGGACGGAGGTTTAACCTTGGGCAAGGCACTTTTCTTCAGTTGAGGCAACAAGGGCCGACAGCAGAAGGTCATTTTGCTACAGTACTGCCAGTACTCAGGAAATCAGTTCTTCATTCCTGACCAAAAACCTGTGTCCATCACAGCCCTGGCAGGATCGGAGGTCGTCTTGTAACAACCTGGCACTGAGGAGGTTGGGGGACAAATACTCCAGCCTCACTCTCCTCCAGACTCCCCTCTCCTGCCAACCCTCCCCGCCACCCTCCAAACTCAGGAAGTCATAGGACTCTGGGGGGTCTGAGTCACAGAGCAGAGTGAAGAGTGGATCTGGTGGGCAACAGAAGGTATGCAGCAGCAGAAGATGAGTTTAGCTTTTGAACATTAAAGACATGTCGAGTTAAAGAATATCCTGGTGAAGGCTTCTTATTGGTGGATTAAAGGCACGTTCGGAACCACCCTCTTACTCATTCCACTCCTTGCTCCTTTGCTTTCATCCACCTCCTGATTACTTAACCTCACTCTTGGTTCTACCGTTTAACCCCTGCCTCATTACTTCCACTTAAAACATTTTCTAGTTCACGTGTTTGGCTTTTTGCCTGGCTATATTTCATTCTTTCATCCTTCATTTAGTTCCATACATCCATCTACTAGCCTGGTAACATTCTTCATCCAACATCTTCCCAGCCCTATGGGGAATCTTTCCTCCCCCAGCATCTTATTTATCCTATCTTCTCCTTCTCCTTCCCCTCCTCCTCCTCCTTCTAAAATTTTATTTTATTGAGGAACAGTGTGTTTTTCCAGGACTCATCAGCTCCAAGTCAAGTAATTGTTTCAATCCATTGATAGTTGTGGCAGGTACAACTCAGTGGCCCATGTGGGGATCAAACCGGCAACCTCTGTGTTATAAGCACTGTGCTCTAACCACCTGAGCTAACTGGCCGCCCCATCTTGTCTTCTTGATTAAGACAGGTAACAGATAAGTTCCAAGATCTTGAGGTAATGCAGATGAGAGATGATATGAGTGTGGGGACAATAGGTATGGGGTGAAAGGCCCACTTTGGTGGATCGCTGTCTCTGCTTACTATGGTGTACTTTCTGAAGCTACCAGCCAATGGTAAAACAAATTCACAGCCTTTTCTCACATTTAGTATTTCCAGCATACTTTCCCATTTTGTCTAATGTATTCTGATACAGAAGCCCTACCATTTAACCCCATTAATCATCTCTTCTTGAAAATCTTTGGCTTCCATATATTCCTCCTCCCCCCCCCCAAAAAAAAAAATTTCACCTCCTTCTTTTCTACCTGCTTCTTAGTTTCTTTGACTATTTTGGTAGACAATCCCTCTCTTCTCTTTTCCCCCTCAACCATGTTTTACTCTCTTTTGCCTGATAGTCTTCTTATATACATGCTTTGCGGACATCTTTTTTTTTTTTTTTCTTATGGCCGCAACTATCACTCGTGTGTGAATGACTCCTAGGTCTGTACTCCTTTCCAGAACTCTTTGGGATTCCATTCCAGAGTTCCGGACTCTGCAGTGGCGGTGGGATCAGAACACAGGACTTCTTCCCAAGCTGGCACTAAAATGGGCTTTCAGGTTCCTTTTTAGCCCTTTTCCCCCCTTCCCTTGTTTTTCAACTCTTCCTTGAACTGTTCCTCAGTCCATTTTGGTTGTTTTCATATCATCCTGGCTTCCTTTAGCTTGCTTAAAACTAACAAACAAACTTAATTAACTCCAAATTGCCCCCCAGAGATGTTATTTCACTCCAAAAGCTTTCTCTCTCCCTGTTTTCCTCTTCACAAAATTTCCTTTCCAGGGAATTCAAAGGAAACAGCAAGGAGAAGGCAATGATTATTTTGTTTTCCTTTAAAGTAGTTAACTTGCTAAACACCAAATATTTACATTTTAAATGTAAGCCTATTTGAGGAGCTGTGTGTCTCTGTATGGGGGCAGGAGGGGGGTGGGGTGGAGTAGGCAATACTCACCTCTGAGAGGGGTTAGATTAATTCACCCACTTCCTTCCCCGTATTATATGGAATTTCTTTGGGTATTTATCCTGAGGATGGTGTAAGAGAATAAAAAGGACAGAATTTAATCAAGAACTAAGAAAAGTTAGGCTCTGAAGACAAAAATTTTAAAAATGATTCTTATCCCGCTCTTTTCTATCCCACATTGACAGACTTTTAAAAGCACATTTTGCCGTAGACTTTCATGGAAACCAACCAAAGGGAAATTAGAGAGGCACTGCAGGACCGTTTTTATGCGAATCGATGTCTGATTTTCATTAGGCCAGCACTGTTTTTCCTCCAAAGTCTTATTTTTATTACAGCAACAACTGCCTCAGTAACAATTTGTTGAGAGGTGCCTAACTTAACATACTTCACTCAACTGCTTTCAGTCCTTCGTGGTGGAAGTTAAAATACCATCTTTATTCAGGCTCTGGTTCCGGACCAGAAGCCTGTCTCCAGCAGGGCAGTGTCACCAAGGCATGCTTTTTAGGTGACGTGCACGTTGCTGTACACCTTGGCGGCAAAGCAGGAGCTGTGCGTTGCTGAATTACCAGTATCGCAACTTGGGCACGTAGGAAGTATGCTTTCTTTCTCCCTCTAACACTAAAAACAGAAAAACAAAACAAAACCCCACAACAAATCAAACAGGCATCAAAACCGTCCGAGTGCCTAGGGAAAGCGCGCCAACCACACAAAGAAAAGGAGGGGGGCTACTGGGATTCAAAATCATTTCTTCCGGACGTACACCCTCCTGGGCCTATCGGAGTTAACTGCGCGCTTGGTCGTAGCCAATAGACACAGCGCTTCTGGTTAAGGGCCGCCCTCAAGACTGATAGACATTTGTGCAGTCCAATAGAATAGTGTGATGCTGAAGCATTAACCAATACATTCGGGAGGTGGGTGGAGTGTAGGCCAGGGGGTTGGCGGTGCCGTGTCATGGAGGCTCAGTCTCTGAGCAGCCATTGAAGGGGAAGGAACTGCGGGTGTATGTGTGTGTGCGTGTGCGTGTGTGTGTGTGTGAGTGAGTGCGTGCGTGTGAGTGCGCGCGCGAGTGTGTGGACGAGGAGGTGGGGGCAGCCGAGTTAGAGTCCCAACTCCTTGGACTCCATTTGCTATTCTCTTCTTTCTCCCCCACACCTATCTGGTGGTGGTGGGCGTTTATATTTGCGTTTCTTTTCATTCATTTCCAAATCTTTTACAGTTTGAGGGTTGGGGGTAGTAGGAAAGGCAGGACAGGGTAAGGGAGGAGAGTAATAGCAGAAGAGCAGGAGGAGGACATGGAGATGAAGAAGAGGATTAACCTGGAGTTAAGGAACAGAGCCCCGGAGGAGGTGAGATGACTCAGCCCCCTCCCCTTCCCCACCAGCCCTGTATTCGGAGGATCCGGTTTCGGGGGGTCCGGGTGGGTGTGTAGGGAGGGGTAATGGATCAACCCCAACCTGGGGTTAGGGTCGGGAGGGGAATATTGAATTCGAAATTTTAAATCATTAAAATCTTTTACTTAAAATGGCGAAGGGTTCAAGTTTCTAGGGGCATTTTTTGTGTGTGCATGGGGGCTTAGCCCCTTTCGCCTCTCTTGGAGTCGGGCGTCCTGCCTCGTGGGGGCGGGAAGCGGGGTGTTGGGGGGCCCCTCCGCTCCCCAAGTTCCTCCTCCTGGGGGCCGGAGGCGTGGGCGCGACCCTCCAGTCCCACTCGCCCCTGCCGCAGCCATCGTTGCCTGAGAAGTTAGTCTAACTTTTGTTCAGTGCTGCTAACTCTTTTTTTTTCTGGGGGGGGGCGCCCCCGGCCTCAAGGCCCCTGGGCGTCGGGCGCGGGCTGGGGTTCGCGGGGAGCCGGCGACCACCCGCTGCCGGCGGCGCCCACTCCCCCGGGAAGGGCGCGCGCCGACCGCCGCCAGGCGGAATCTGGGTCAGCGGCCGGCTGTCCGGCCGCGGGTAAGTTTTGAGACCCGTCGCAGTAATCGGAGGTGCGGAGGGGACTCGAGGCGTAACCCCCTGCGTCCCCCCGCGGTGTAACGAAATTCGGCGGGTCTTGTCGTGTCGTGGTGGCCGCAACTCCGAATTTGATCCCTGGAGACGGTTTCACAAAACTCAACCAATGGGTGGTAGTAGCTTTGTGCTTTAAAGATGGGTTCGGCGAAACTAAATGATGCGCGCTCGCCGCTGTCGCCTTAGTTAAAGAGACGGGGTTGGGAGGGGCCACGTGAGGCGGGGTCGCGGTCGACTTTTCGGGGGTCGGGCGGGAGGCGTTTCCGCCTCCTTTCTGAGGGCGCCTCCTCTGCTTCACCCAGCCCTTCCCGTCCGGGGCGGAGGCGCCGGGGGGCGGGGGACGCCGGCTGGAGGGCGACCCCTATTTTCCTTGGGGAGTCCCCGCCCCGTGTGGGGTTTCCCGTTTGTCGGAGCAGCAGGTCGCCAGAGTGGGGCCGGTGACCAGCGAGGAACCTCACACTTGTGATCGCAGAGGCGAGCGCCTAGAGTCTTGCTAATTGTGGCCTCTGAGTTAAACCCCAGGATTGGCATATCAGGGATATAATTTTTTTGAACTGGGGTGAAGGCGGTGCCTGTGCATAGCAGCCTAGTGGATGAGCAGTAGGGTCTGCCCAGTGGGCTGAGTGGGAACCCGAGGTCTTTATATACTTAAAATTAAGTTTCCCAGAAGTTGGCAGGAGCAGGGAGGAGGAAACACAGTCTCTATCATCCATCCCTGGGAGAACTTGAAGTGTTCTGGGGCCTACTCTTTAGGGGCTTCAGAAAAAACAAAACTGAAAAGGCTGTCTCTCAGAAGCACACATTTAGGATGCTTTTTTATGTCTTCGTTTGGAAAAGTGGATTCCCCCCGCCCCATTCTTTTACCCAGCCCATCGTGGTATCTTCCTTGGCCGGTTTTGGGGAGTGCCGCACGTTGCCTTTTTGCAGCCTCTCCTTCCTCCCCTGTGGTGTAATAACGGTCTCTCGTATTTGCATAGCTCTTCACCGTTTACGGAGAGCACTTTCCGTGTTTGTTATTCACTTTCCTCCTTGAGACAAACTTGTAAGGTGGATTGTATTGTTCTAGAATCCAAATTAGTGGAGTCTCAGGGCCTGCAGTTATTTACTCAAGTGGAAGAACTGGTTTTCGGACACTGAATCTAGTGGCCCTCTTGCCTTCACTCAACTAGACCAGGAAAGACTTAGAAGAGGCACAGCTCTGCCACTTGCTAACTGTGTGACACCAGGCGACTCATCCTCACCCCCTGGGCCTCAGCTTCCTCATCCCTGAAAAGATCGTGATGCCTTCTGCGCTCACTGAAGTAATTAAGTCAAAGTCAGTCTCAAATAGAGAAGGTGGCATTCCCTTGTTGCTAATTTTTAGTCCCCCAAAGTACTTCAAACACATTTTTGCATTGGGAATGGAGGGTCAGGGTCTCCTTCCTCTCTCTTTCCCTTAAGTCCATTTAGGTCCACACACCAGAAAGTTTTGTTTTACAACTCTGACCTAATGGAGAGGATCCAGCCCCTCCCCACCAAAAATGGGGCGAAGTCCACAAAAAAAAAATGCTACCAGGATGGCAGGGAGAAATAACATTTTGTCAAGGATGTATTGTTCTGGGTGATGCTGTTTGGCCTCCATATTAGAACAACTAACATCCAAAAGCTGGGCTGTCTCAGAAGGAGCTTCAAACATTTCTTCACGAAGGGTAACAAGAACATTTTGAGTGATGGGGGCATTTATCAACCAAAGATAAGGGGGTTTAAGCTAAAACAGTTTCCTTTCTTCTCCCTGCTGTTTCAGGAGAGCTCCCTTGCATCCTTTCCCAGGATCCCAGGTGCTAAATATGCCCTGATGTTGAGAGTCCTCATCAGGGTCAGAAACAAGTTTCACGTGGGACCTTTTGCAAAGTTTTATTTTCTATGCATCAGTGATTTGAAGTAGGCATTAAATTTCTCAGTCCAAGTTTAAATTTAAAAGGTGAACTTATAGTGATGACTTTAGATTATATTTCAATTTGGCGGGGGGTGGTTGTGTGTGTGAATGTAAAGGATCTGTGTAAGGGGATTGGCAGTTTTAATATTCAGATTTCCAGAGTGTCAGGGCCCAGGTCGTTTGCTATCAGACTGTAAACTAAAGAATCATTCATGTTCTCTCTTACAGGTGACAGAGTTAGTCCTTGACAATTGCTTGTGTGTCAATGGGGAAATTGAGGGCCTGAACGATACATTTAAAAAACTAGAGTTTCTGAGTATGGCTAATGTGGAGCTAAGTTCACTGGCCCGGCTGCCCAGCTTAAATAAACTTCGAAAGGTACGTTCACAATAAGACAGGTATGCATTATGATTTCAATACAAAGGCTATTTCTAGTTTTTGGCCAAATGGAATGACCATTCTGCTTTTTAATTAGGAGATTCTCAGTTTCTAGAGGTCAGTAAAAGGGTTATGTAGGATTTTGGAATCAGCTCTAATAGTGCCTTTAGAAATTTAAATTTAATAATGAAATTGCTTTATGGCATGAATTTGGATTTAACAGCTACTAAGTGTTTTTCTCTAAAACATGGAATCCAACTATTATACAACTGGAACCAAACCTGGGTTAAGAGCCCATTACACAGACAGTCCCTGACTTACGATGGTTTGCCTTATGATTTTTCCACTTTACAATGATGGGAAGCCCGATGCATTGAGTAGAAACCGTACTTTGAATTTCGATCTGTTCCCGGGCTAGTGATATGTGGTAAGATACTCTCTCATGATGCTGGGCAGTGGCATTGAGCCACAGCTCCCAGCTGGCCACGAGATCATGAGGGTAAACAACAGATACTCTGCAGTACATTCATTCATTGTGTTACATGATTTTGCCCAACTGTAGGCTAATGTAAGTGTTCTGAGCATGTTTAAGGTGGGCAAGGCTCAACTATGACGTTTGGTAGCTTAGTTGTGTAAATGCATTTTCTACCTATAGTATTTTCCACTTACGATGAGTTTATCGGGAGGTAACCCCATTATAAGTCGAGGAGCATTTGTATAGGGGTTCTAATAGTATATTATTTGGCGGTAATAGATAGAATATGGAAATGAATAACTTAAGATGGTCTCTTAAAGCTAGAGAGAATGACAGTTATTTTGTTTTTTTCAAATTGACCATCCTCTAAAATGTTTGATCCGTCCTAAGTCTTCACCATTCTTTGTTTTCTCCCCTTGTTGAATATATAGTTGGAACTTAGTGACAATATAATTTCTGGAGGCTTGGAAGTCCTGGCAGAGAAATGTCCAAATCTTACCTACCTCAACCTGAGTGGAAACAAAATCAAAGATCTCAGTACAGTAGAAGCTCTGGTAAGTGGGGAGGTTTGTCTCTGGACTTGCTTTTTTTGATTGAATTTTGTGAGATTTTTCTTACATGTTGTGATGTAGATGGTTATTGCTTACTTTTCCTTTGGAGTAAAACATTCAGATAAAATTTTAAACTGGTAAGAAATTAATTTTATCATAAACTTCAGGAATCGAATATCTGGTTTAAAAATTTTTAGTATTTTCTTAAATTCTATTCCTTTTCCTCCTCCTCCTCCTTTTATTTTTTTTAAGATTTTTATTGGGGAATTGGGGGATGGGAACAGCACTGGGGAATTGGGGGAAGGGGAACAGACAAGTTGTTGTCTTTTTGTTCTTCAGTCTTGTTATGGAGGACGTTGCTTCACTGGCCCAAGGTGGCACCATCATTGCGCTCTTCCCGGGCGAGGCAGATCAGTCGCCGGCTTCTGGAAAGCCGCTCACTGCGGCTGCTGACCGCTCACGCTGGCAGCTGGCTACACACGGTAGCCCATGGCAACCCACCTTAGCAGGAGCTGCAGCTTACTCTGTTGCCGGCAACTCACGGCAACCCAGCTCCAGGTTGAGCTGTTGTTCAGCATCTTAGCTGTAGAGGGCAGTGTCACTGGCCCTCATATGTGGGATCTGAACCGGGGCCCTCTGGCGTCCCAAGCCAGCTCTTAACCAACGCGCCACTCGGCCGGCCCTCCTTCTTTTTCTTGGGAGTTATTTCATTATTTGCTCCTTTGTTTCCTAGTATGGGGGAAGGAAAAGGAGAGGAAGTGAAATTCTGAATTGTTGCTCTGATTTTTAAAAAGCTTGGAAAGAGGTTGAAATGGTTGAAAGTGAGCTTGACTGTGAGTTTAAACTAAGTATGTTATTGTTGTTGCCTATCTGTGCACAGACTCGATCAATAAAATATATTGAGTGCCTGCTATGAGTAAGGCACTAACCCAGGTGCTAGAGACACAGCAGTGAACGAAACTAAGTCCCTACTCTCATGGCGTTCCCATGCCAGCACCTCATTAAGAGAATTGGCTGTGTTTGATATAATAACCCTGTATTCTAAAATTCTAAAAATCCAAAAATCATCCTCTTAATTTCAAGCATATATATTCTGGTTTGTGAATTAAAAAGAAATAACATGATATTTTAAATCTTGAGTGTAAATTTTGACTTTTTTTTTTTTTAAGATTTTTATTGGGGAATTGGGGGAATGGGAACAGTGCTAGGGAATTGGGGGAAGGGGAACAGACAAGTTGTTGTCTTTTCTTCAGTCTAGTTGTGGAGGACGTTGTTTCACTGGCCCAAGTTGGCACCATCATTGCGCTCTTCCCCGGTGAGGCAGATCAGTCGCTGGCTTCTGGACGGCTGCTCACGGCGGCTGCTGGCCCGCTCACGCTGGCTGCTGGCTACACATGGTAGCCCATGGCAACCTACTGCAGCAGGGGCTGCAGCCTACGCCATCGCCGGCGACTCACAGCAACCCAGCTCCAGGTTGAGCTGTTGATTAGCATCTTAGCTGTGGAGGGCAGTGTCACTGGCCCTCATATGTGGGATCCGAACCGGGGCCCTCTGGCATCCCAAGCCAGTTCTTAACCATCACGCCACTCGGCCGGCCCTAAATTTTGACTTTTGACTTTTCCAGCAAAATCTGAAAAATTTGAAAAGTCTTGACTTGTTTAACTGTGAGATCACAAACCTGGAAGATTATAGAGAGAGTATTTTTGAACTGCTGCAGCAAATCACATACTTAGATGGATTTGATCAGGAGGATAATGAAGCACCAGACTCGGAAGAGGAGGATGATGAAGGTAATCGTTCTTACTACTCCTAAATGTGTCACAATTATAGCCTACACCCTAGCCATGCCAATTAGATTGGGCATGGATACGTAGGTGTAGGGAAAAGAAGATGTAAGATACGAAATATTTAAAAACCCACAGCCCTAGTCCTGTATTTCTTGTTTCAGATTTTTGATAGTTTTGGGGGAATGTAATAATTATATCAAACTCCATGAAATTTTATGTCTGTATAAACTTGTCTAACCACCACTCAGTAAAAGTGGCAACTTTATTTATTTATTTTTTTTTCTGCAACTTTTTAAATAGTACTTCAAAAGAAAAGAACCATTCATCACAGTATGATCTATGATAGCCACACAGTAGAAACAACCCAAGTGTCCAGAGTTGGCAAATTCAGAGACAAAGTGTTATAGATTAGTGGTTGCCAGGGCTGGGGGAAAGGAGAATGGTGAGTGACTGCTATTGGATTTGGGGTTTCTTTGGGAGGTGATGGAAATGTTCTAGAATTGGATGGTGAATATACATTTTTGGATAAGTGGGGGATTAACAGCTCAGATGACAAAATAACTTTTTATTAGTAATGGGACACTTTGTTATTTTTGTATTTGTATTTTTTTTTTAGCTGAGCCATCCTGCCACCTGTTGGCAGCTCAGCGGCAGCTAAGCTTGGGCCGGGAATCGAACCGGCAACCCTGTTGCTCAGAGCTCGCATTCTTGAGCAAGCTCTTAACAAACTGAGCCACTCAGCTGGCCGGGCAGCCGGCCGACCTGACATTTTGTTATTTTTACTCGAAAGGATATTTGATGGATAAAGAATGTTATAAAGTGATAGAATGATGGACAAGCAGGTTTTGAAGTGTCCACAAAGTAAAACAAACTTTAGTACATGTAATGTTTTGATGCAAATCTGTATGTTAGAAGTATTTCACTATTTAGAAACCATATTTCTCAAATAGTAAATAAGGATGTTATAAAAGGTACATCTTTAAAAATGAAATCACCCTGAACTACTTCCCATGCATTGACTTAAGAGTTTGAAATTATTGGGGCCAAGGGTTAAAAGGATCAACATCTTATCAAGAAACATTTCCCCAGCCATTTGCTCATCTTTTAAAATATTTTTAAAGATGGAGATGAAGATGATGAAGAGGAAGAGGAAGATGAAGCTGGTCCACCTGAAGGATATGAGGAAGAGGAGGAGGAGGAAGAGGAAGACGAGGACGAGGATGAAGATGAAGCAGGCTCAGAACTGGGAGAGGGAGTAGAGGAAGTGGGCCTCTCGTACTTAATGAAAGAAGAAATTCAGGTGAACAGACCCTTCTTACATGCACTGAAAATTAATCACTAAGGCATAGGGCTAATTACCATAAAAAGTAAGCTGTGTAGAAATCTGAGTTTTTTCTAATGGGGCACATGTGTCGGTCTGCCTGTCTTTTTCCCCCATTACCCCCCAGTTCATACTATATCCAGATACTCATAAGCACCTATTCCCAGATATCTTTCATATCCATTATGCCCTCAGGGGCATCGTATGGTGGAAACATTTTACAAATGTTTATTCCAACTGCATAGAATTGTTTTAAGGATTTAACAAAATACTATATGTAAGTAGTTGCTGGCACACTGTAGGCACTCGAGAACATTTCTTTCCCCTGATTATTTCTTGCTTGTGTTTCTGTAGTAGCTTTCTAAATAGTCTCTCTCAATGCATTGTCCCCACTGAGGTGTATCCTTCGCAGGCAGGCATAGTCTAAATGCAAACGTGATCATATCACTGGCCTGCTTAACCCTTGAATGCTTCCCTGTTGCCACCAAGACATACAAGGCCCTTCATTATCTAGCCTGCTCCCTCTGGCTTTATCTCCCTCCATACCAGATTAAGTCATCATACAAAGCTATTTCTTCTTGCCTTTTGTCTGTATATAATATGAATATTCTATTACTATAGAGTAAACAATATATAAAACCTTTATCTGAAATGACTTTGTACCCATGTCCTCTGATAACTTTCTTATTTCTGAGGTAAACATAAATATAGTAAAGCATGTAAAGTACACTGATTTTATGTACAAGGCCATGAAATTTTACATATTTGTATACTTGTGGAACCATCACCCAAATCATGCCTCGTGAACTCTTCCGTTTAAAAAGTCAGCTCTGGGGTTGCCTCATGATTGAAACTTCCTGTAATTTTCATAGACAGTCACTCCTTTCTCTTTTGCCTTTGAACTTTGATTAGGCTTCTATTACCTGTAGATACTTTTATAAGAACTTGTTTATTTGGCCACTTTCTACTACAACAGATGGTGAGCTCCTCAAGGGGAGGACCATTCATCTTTGTATCTCGCCTCTAATACAGTGGCTGGAGGTAGACTCATGGGAAATGTCAGTTGACATGAACAAATGATCTTTAGCCCCTGGGAGTTTAGATAAGTTATTTTCTCCTAATGTTCAACTATTGGGTTTTGTTTTCGTAATTCATAATTTAAAATAATATTTTATTATTAAAAATAATGTCTCTAAAAAATATATAATAACATCTCTTATTTAGACTAGAAATTGTTAGTGTTCTCATTTGCTTTCCTCATGACTTTTACATTAGTTAGATAGGTGACATCAGTGATTAAAAAATGATACATTTGCTCTGATAGCATTTTAAATATAAAACTATCGTGGGGAAAAAATAGGACCTAGACTTGTCTGGGGCCATAGTGAGTTAGGAGCTGTACAATAATGAATAATAGAGCTTTAAGGATTTTAAGCATTCATGGAGAAGGATAACCTGTTCAATTTACATCAGCATACAACTTGAATATTTTTCCCCTAAGTTTTAATTTATTTGGTAAAATAATGGACTCATGTTATTTTGCCTATGGCTTTTTATTGGGTTGTCAGAAAAGTCATGACGCATTTTGCAATGAAAAACAGAGAAAAAATACGTCATGACTTTTCCAACAACCAATATTTTCCCTGCCGATAATTCCTCAAGTCTAAATAGTATTAAGTAATTTAAACATGCCCTTCACCTAACTGCAGATGTTTGTGTTTATCATTCCATTGACTATTGGGAAATATTAACTGAAAATGACACGGTCAAGTGTGAACGAAAATCTTTCAGATAACACATACAACGTTAGGTCAGTGTGCCACCCGGGTTACAGGGACCAGGAGTTGTTTTCAATCATGATGAGGTCCTTTGGATGTTTAAAATGAAGTCTTGCTTTTAGAAACTAAGAGCCAACAGAAGCTTCAGAGACTACTGAGATTTGAAAAGAAATTAGAAGGAAATAGAAATGGCATTTGATTAGCTAGTTTTTGTTTGAGTCTTATTTCTATTTCAGCTGCTCTTCAGAGGTAAGGCATTAATATGTATAAAGAAGGACTTTATGTCGGTGTAGTATATATTTCATGAAAAATAGGAAAGGGGCTTTAGAAGAATTGGGAATTAGGTGCTTCTTATACTACTCATAGTACAATTGAGGAAACATTTTAGTTCTCAGTAATTAGGAAAAGACTGAACCAAAGTCTTTACAGAGCGAGAACCGAAGTCTTTACAGAGCGAGACTCTGGTGGTGTAATAGATGATATTAAAAAAAAAAAAGGCTTAAAAACATGAGCCAATTAATCTAATCATATTTTGTTTAAAACAAAATCCAGAGAAGTAATTAGCTTTTTAGACTTGAGCTTTTCTAAATTATCAAGGAATAAATGTGATTAGTATCTCAAGCAAGTGTTTTTAAAAAGATTATAAATATTGAAATATCCTCATTTATCACTCCTTGCAGATTTAAGATGTTTTAAATGACTCCTCTCTCCCTCTCTCTCTCTCTCTCTCTTTCTTCTTTTCTCCTTTATTCTCCCTTCCCTCCGTCCCCCTCACCCTCCCTTTCCTCTCTTTTTCCCTCTCTGCTCTACTCCTCTCTCTTCCTCTCTTCTCTTCTTTAGGTTAAGGCTACGGGTTCTCCTGATTTTTATTGTGGCTCCTTTTTGTACCATTTGTATCCCGTCTATTCCTGTTCCCTGTAGCTTGGTGGTGTTCTGGTAATGGAATGCTTTATAGTGTTTGCTGTTAGCTAAATGCTGGAAAATTAGGTTCTGTTTAGTGTTTCTAGACACAAAGGGGCTGTGGATACTGTGAAAAGGGTGGGCTGCCCAAGTTTCGCCTAACTACCTAGCAGTTCCTGACATTTGCCAATTAAGGTAGTTTTAAGGAGCAGTAAACTTTGAGGGGTTAGAGGGGAGACCCTAGATTGGTTCCATTTTTTCCAATGTTTTATAGTAGAACTCAACCGTTTGGAACACATCCAAGAAAAAGGCAGTACGTGTAAAAGGCCTCTGAGTAACCAAAATATAAGTGATAAAAGACATTTTCTTTGTAGGAGAGTGTTCAAGCTGTTATTCTAAACCTATTTTCTCTTTTGTATTGAATCCTCTGGTAAGCTTGTTGATCTATTTTCTGAATCCACAGCAGATTAAAATTGAAATAGTAACTGACTGCAAAGGACAAGGCATAAAAACTAGGAAAAGATACAACTCAAAGTAGAGGCCAGGGTCCTTTTAAAAAGGGGATAAAACCATCCTACATATATTAATAGGCTCTGAGGGAATTGACAAATACTAATTAGTATAATGTTCATGATCAAAATGGTGACTATGATAATTCAAGAAAAAGGTTTGTTAGCTTTAGCAGAAAATGGTAGAGGAGTGGGCAGTGCACTTTAGCAAGAGATTTGTAGCCCAATTGGCTAAAGTTAAAAAAATGGTGTTGATGTTTCAAGGCAATGTTTAAACCTTAGCTATCCAAGAGTTGTAGATCAAGTTTATTGTGATTTTAATTGACATTTGCTATTTTGATTTGTAGATTTTTTTAGATATAGAAGGAATTTATAGATCTTTATAGATCTTTCTTTCAATCAAAAAATAGATCTTTTTATTGATTGAAAAACTGAGGTCCGGAGAGATTAGATGACTTATCCAACACATAACTGTGTTGGGACCAGGACTCAGGTACCGTATTTCCTTTCCCATGTATAAGATGCACCCTTTTTCAAAAAATTTGGGGTCTAAAAACTGGGTGCGTCTTACACAGTGGTTGTAGATTGTTGTCAAGGCATTTAAGAAGTGTGGCATTTCACATGCCCTAGATGGAACTGAGGACGAGGCAATATATAAAGACAGCGATTCGTCATCAGACACAGATGAGGACAAGCTAATGGTTGGGCCTTTTGACAGTGATGAGGAGTTGTACGAATTTTATGATGAATAAAACTTGAGTTCAATAACTTCATGTAATACATTTTTTTTTCAAATGTCGGGCCCCAAAATTAAGGTGCATCTTATACATGGGGAAATACGGTAATTCTTACCATAATATATAAAATTGACGATACTGTCTTTGAAATAGTCAAAAGTTATTCTGTCCATTACAGTAGCCACTGGGCACTTTTGTCTGTTTAAAGGAATTAAAATTAAATAAAATTAAAAATTAAGTTGCTCCTTTGCACTGGTCACATTTTAAGTGCTCAGTAGCCACACATGGCTAGTGGTTAATGGGTTGGACCACAACACAGATATTGAGCGTTTCTGTTGTTGAGTGTTTTACAACATTGCTGGTCTAAAACATTATTTTCATAAAGAAACTAGATTTAGTTGGTTTTTTTAAAAAGGACATATATAAGTTAGGCAGAGTTTATTCAACTACAGAATAATCATAGTTTCTTTCCTCTTGTTGGGATATATTAGTAGCAAACTGAAAAATCTGTGTCATGGTTTATTCTGAAACTGAATATTTGAATTTCAAGGATGAAGAAGATGATGATGACTATGTTGAAGAAGGGGAAGAAGAAGAAGAGGAAGAGGGTGAGCTATATTAGCTATAAAAATAAAGAGTAATATTCTCAGGGTATTCATTAATTCCATTGAGAAAAAAACAGTTTATAACATTTATTTTCAAAACTGCAATGAAGAGATAATGGATCTTTGAGCTCAATTTATTACTTTTTTTAGTGTCTTTCATTTTTAGTGTCTTTCATGTTAGAGAGGGTGAAGCCTTCTCTATAAGAGAACAGTTGACCTCCAGATAATGCTCTTTTTAGATTTGCTCTCTGGTACTCTTTACTTAGGTCTTTCAACAGAAATTTAAAAATTCACTAATTCCACCAATGTCAAGCCCTTAAGTTTCTTAATCTGTACTTTGTGATTTGGCCACAAGGGTGCATAGCAAGCTGTCATTATTTATGGAATTCTAAGTCTATTAAGCCTGTTCTGAAATTGAAAGAAATTCAGAAAGGAAACTGAACTTATAATTTTCTTATGTCATTAACTTTTCACTAAGATAGATACGAAGCTTTGTGACTTAATAAATATTCATTTAAAATTAAGTGTTTTACACTTTTCCTCTCACTCATTCAGAAGAAGAAGGTCTTCGAGGGGAAAAGAGGAAACGAGACGCTGAAGATGACGGAGAGGAAGAAGATGACTAGATCATTCTGAGACCATAGTCCCTATTTCCTGGGTGTGCAATAGAGTGATCACATCTTTGTTTCTTCATGTACGATAGCTGTCCCTACAGAAGATAACGTAACTTTTTATAGGAAAAGTGTGGTTTTACTATTTTTGCCTTATCATTCCAAATAAGATTTACTAGTCTGTTAATGATCATATTGTATGTAGAGAAAAATTTTCATTGACCCCCCCCCATCCCCATTGTGAAATTCCCTAGCAGTTTATTTAGAATCTTAAGTTTTCTAATACAAGCTCACCGTATTAGTCATTTTAGCCCATAATTAAAACATGATCGCTTTTACACAGGTGTAGTATGGTGCATTTCATTCATAAGTTTTTAAAGTTATTTAAGAATTAACTGAAATCACAGTCAGCTGGAATATGAAATGAAGGTAGTCTCTTGAATAATAAGTTGTGTTTTTTTTGTTGTTTTTTTTAGCAGTGACCCAGAGATCTTTAATTTGAAGGCAATGACTTTTTTTGGCTAAGGGTTGATGTGACAAACATGAGTAACTTGGAAAATAGGAGCAGAATAGTAAGGGTTCTATTCAAAAATATAATTCATGGCTTTCGAGAAGCTTCTGAAAACCTAAGCCGGGTGACTAGGATTTTACCTTGGAAGGAAAAATTGGTTATAATAAGTTCAGAGATGTGCAGGTGAGCCCTTTGTTCTTCAAGCTGAAGATGATGACATGCTAACTAACAGTTGTTGTGTGTTTTTGTGTGTGCATTTTTTGTTTGCCTCTCAGCAATCCCTTTAAGGTCACCTTCCTTTCTCGTTTCACTCTCCTCCCTTTATCTCAGAAAAAAGCTAGGAAACTTATGGATACCCAGGAAAGCCTTTAGTCTTATACCTCAACCACCTTTTCAGACCTGTCTCAGTTTTGAACAAGCTAAGTGAAAGAAACTGAGTATTTTCTGAGATACGAATAATGTCATCAGTAGAGTTTTATGCAACAGACTGTTTACTGTAAAGCTTTCTTGGTTGACAAGATGTATAGACTGTATTTGTAGGATGAAGAAAGAAAAGAAGCACAGGGTCTTTTGGAAGCAGCAATAGTGTTCCTCAAAAGTTAGAACAATTGCCTGTTGATAATTAACAAGACATTCAAAGTCAAAATTTTAAGTTAGCTTCTCAAATGATTTAGATACCATTCTGTAAAATATTTCTAATTTTTCTGAGTAGAACCTTTACCTATTCTTCCTATAGTCTTAAAGCATTACCAGATATAGCATTTGATTGGAATATTTATAGTGGGCAGTTGGAGAAAGATTTGAAACTAAATCCATATTAAAATTAAGGTTTGTTTTCAAGTGGATGCCCATTAAAAATAGAAAAATATTTGGGGTAAGTGTGAGTGTGTGTTTCTTTATATGGCTACTAGATATAATATGAGTAGACAAGTACATCTCACTTTTTGTTGTGGAGGCTCCATGTTCAAGGCAATTGCTTTTTTAATCTTGGCTCTAAATTTTTTTCCAAAGTGGGAGTGGTTTTGAATATTTGTAAGTTTCTTAAATTAGTGTCAGCAGATGATTTGAAGTTACATTTCCACACTGGGACACATTTAAATCACTGAGTATAGCACTTCTTTTTTAGTTTGAAATGTATGACTTGGGTTTTTAAAGTAAAAATTAGAAAGTTATTTGTGTATAAACTAAAAAAAAAAAAATTACACAGTTGACTGAAATAAAACTCTTGGGATAAGTTTAGTGGGAGGATTGGAATCTCCAAATGGCTAACATTTTATTCCTTTTTAATAATTGAAATGCCCTGTTTTAGTCCTGAAGAATTCTCATTGCATTAGTATGCCAGATTATAAAATACTTATTTTTAAACTTAAATCTGTATATTGACTTTCTTATCAATCATCTTATTGTGCAATCAAAATTAGAGTTCTTTGGTTTGAAAACAACACTTAGAGCCTCCAAATAACTTTTTAAGACTTATTTAGCTTTGTGGGTGGTATTTTCATGCAAATAAGTAAGGGTGGGTTGGGTTTTATATTTTGTAGAAGTTTTTGGTCCTATTTTAATGCTCTTTGTATGGCAGTATGTATATAGTGTGTTAAATTCCTTAAAGCACTCCTCAAGAAAACTTTGAAGTTAATACTTTCGTGCAACTGTGTTTTGAATAAAGCCATGACAGTGTTAAAAACAAACAAAAAATGCAGTACTCCTGATTATTCTTTTATTGTTTCTGACTGTTTCCTGTTTTTTCTGTGACTGCTGTAACTTAAAGTTTTTGAAACCGAATTGCTTCAAATAAATTGAAGATTTGTTGTTAATGATTAGTATCAGTGTTTGACATTCACTTTTGAACACCACCATTGGGGGCTTTGAAGGTCTTTTTAAAAACAAACAGCTTGAAGTTAACTCATTTAAACACTTGGATGTTACATGAGGCATTAATTACAACTGCAAAGTTTAACTCATCTGCCTATTTAACTTTTTCCAACAAGCAGAAAAATTTCTGGATTCCCTTAATTTTCCTTGTTTATCTTCAGAATCCTTAGATAGTATAAATACAAGCATACATAATTCTTATATGTTTACCTTGAGTAAATCAAACCTGAACTAAACAATGTTTTTTTCTGCTCTTGGTTTTGCTGTGATAGTGATTTTTAAAAGTTTCATTTGTAGACAACTCGAATGTATTTTATCAAGTCAAGGCACAAGTATGTTAAGTAATGTTCTTGTTAATGAAAAGGTATTTTAATTAAGGAACTGCACTCTGAGAGATGGAAAACATTGATGTATATTGCAACTACAGGAATTGTTTATTGACATCAGTAGGGTATTTTTTTTTGTTTTACATCTTTAAAAAATTCAAAGCATTTCCCCTCTTGGTTAAAGAAAATGGTAGAACTACACTAATAAAAGTTTTTGTGGAGGTGTTAGTTAATGAAGCACTTCTGTGGAGGAGTAATTCAAAAAACAATAAGTATTGTTTATTCCTTGTTCTGTATTTTTAAGAGAGGCTTTGGAACATATGATATTTATTCTTCCAGTTGCTGAAAATTTCCCCTGTTGTTCCTGGACTGGATGCAATGATATTCTGCAGCTGTTGCTTAATAATAGCATTCTACTGCATTCCTTTTTCATGTACTAAACAGCCTAAGATTTGAGGTCCTGGCTTGAGTAACTTGGCCTCAGGCAGCTACTTGTGCTAGTAGTCTATTGGACAACCCTAACTTGAAGGAGAACAGGTTAGACCACAAAATGAAATTACAAAATGAGTTGATCTCCAGGAGAATCTAAAAATTTATATACTGGTGAAATAATACTTTTATTTCATGCAAATCTAGCCACTTTTGGGGGTGGTAAGACCCTGAAGCAGGGTTACCCCAGAACTCAATTCTGATGAAGAAAGGATCAGAAGCAAGTATGACATTTTCAGTTTTATGAATATTTACAAATGATTTAAATTCTTGTGAGGACATTATTTAGCCCTGGTTACTTATGAAATGGACACATCCACTTTACTGGTCAATACTGACACAGGCCTTTAAATAGGCACACAATGCTGGTGGAAATGACCTATTCTAGCTGTTGAAGAAACTACTTTGAGGGCCGGCTGAGTGGCTCAGCTGGTTAAGAGCTTGCGCTCTGAGCAACAGGGTCGCTGGTTGGATTCTGGTGGTGGCTGGGTGGCTCAGTGTGCAACAAGGTTGCCGGTTCGATTCCCGCATGGGATGGTGGCCTATGCACCCCACCCCCACCCCACCCCCCCGCAACTAGATTGAAAGGGGCGAGTGGACTTGGAGCTGAGCTGCGCCCTCCACAGCTAAGATTAAAGGACAACAACTTGACTGGGAGCTGATGAGTCCTGGAAACACTGTAAATACTTCCCTATTTCTCTGATTCTCCTATTAAATATCCAGATTGCACCATCTTGCAGGTGAAGGCTGTGATCTGTGCCCTCCACTTTAGTTGTGACTTTTCTTGGACAGACTCACTCCACAGCCCCAGAATTAGCTCACAGAGGCTACTGGGTTTCTCCATTTGGAAGCATTTTCTCCCAGAGTCCTCTTGGCACCTGGAAGTAGAGCTCAATGTCATTTATATAGTCAGCTGTGACTGAGGAATACTGGGATTAGTAGAAGAATCTATAAGTGTAATGGAAGGAACTGCAATTGAAGCAACTAAAGTTAACCAATGACAGCAGCACCAAAGGAAACGAATCTCCAAGGAAAGGGGCAATCACCATTACAGGGCAACACTGGCAGAGAAGTCAGTGCAAGTCCAGTGCGTTCAGCTGTGCACACACCTGCCTCTGCTTTTCTGAGAACATTGGGAGTTAAGAACAAACTCATTTCTGCAGTGTGGAGGATTTAGAATTGTAGGAAATAGCAGGGTTTCTGAATAGGATTCCAGGTGAGGGGCCTTTTTTTTCCTTTTTTTTTTTTTTAATCAAGCGATCTATATTGGGATATATGGAGGAAAATTTCCCTTTAAAAAAAAATTGGTTTGACGTATTTATCTTTTTGCACTATTGTTTGATTCCCCACTGCCAAGGTCCCGGGGTTGTAGCTGTCAGTACGTGAAGGATTGGAATTCTAGAATTAAGACTCATTATTTTGCTTTTACCCCAGTCCTTTCTCACTTCAGGGACTCCAGCTTTAAGGATGAGTTTCTCTAAGTCTTTCCCCCGTTCCCGTCACACTCCTCTGGGCCGAATCAACCACAGCGTGCAGGTAATCGTATCCTAGTATCACTACTTAAAGATTCTTGATAGGCTTGAATAAACAGATCGGGCAATTTTACTTAAATGCTTAAGTTGAGAGGTAAAGTGCTCTTCTGGGGTACATTTTGTGATGTAAATTATGTGTCGTAGTCCTATGGGACACTTGCCTCTTTAAATTTTTACCTTAATTTCCCCAAATCCTCAACCCCTGAGATATAAAGCAGGTTTGCTTTCTCTAGCCGAGGGTACTGCTTTTATAACAGGGCGCGCTCCAGCGATTCTGGAGTCTCAGGCAGTAGTAACAGGATTTGAACGTCTTGGGAGGAGGGCAACAGGACTTCAAATTGGAGAAATGACATTCTTGCTATGAAAAGCATCAATCACTTTAAGCGTATGCCTCTAATTTTTAAATTATCTGTGTGTCCTGGGCCAAATTGTTCAGCTTCTCCGAGACTGTTTGCTCACTCCGCCATTGAGACCGGAAGTCCCCTCGTGATTCGGGGGACATATGGCAAAAAGTTCTGCCAAACCAGATTCTTAGAGTCAAGAGCGGAATCGAAAAGCAAAAGGCGATAAAAATGAGGTCAAGCCAGAGGAAGAACCTGAGCTACCGAAATTGCTCTGTTAATTGGAGGTGCTTTCCGAAGCGCCTCCACTGGAGCAGGGAAAGCTGCAACCCTAGTCACATGCTCTCGCTCCGCCCTCCCCGGGACAAATGAGGGCGGGCGGGCGGCCACAACGCTCAGTCCTCCAGCTGCGCATGCGCGGGGCGAGGGGCGAACGGTCTGCGGAACGGCCTATTGGGTTCTCTGGCTGCCTTCCCTCCTCCTGGGTTCGCCCTACCAACGCCCTACCAACGCGCACTCGAACTCGCCTGTCAGTACCTTCCTTTTCTTCATTCACTTACACATTTTACAGCCCTCGCTTAACGATTTATAGAGCTGCTGTTTTCTAGTTTAATTCCAAAAGTTGAATTATTTTTAGTCCCACATTCACGAAAACCGTCCAATTTAGCAACTCTGGGCGGTGGTGTATTATGTACCTTTTCAAGTTCTGGTGGAAATGGTATTGGCCTGAGGCCACTTTGCACATCGGCCCACAGGTAAAATAATAAAGAGCTTTAAAACCTGTTGGATCTTTTTCTGCCTCCTGGAAAGAAAGAAGGGTTCTATTGGAGAAATCTTGTCAAGGTCAACTTGCAGGCTTAGGACTTTTTTTGGTTTGTTTCACTTAGGGCAACTGAATTGTAGTTTGTTAGAAGTGTCTCAAACTATTGAAGAAAAACTGTCATCAAATTATACTTTTTATACCTTTTAGAGAATATTTACTTCACGTTGTCTTGTACACCAGAAAGGTGTTTTCGGAGCTATGGAAGGTGGAGAAGACAATTCAACTCTTGTATACACAATTTTTAGAACAATATTAGAGGATGGGTTCATGTTTCTATAGAATTAGCGACTGCAAATACCTAACTTCAGTAAAATCAATGCCAGTAGCTTCTTAGGCATTTTCTTTTTTTTTTTTTTTTAGGCATTTTCAATGGCTTTTACAAAACAGCCACAGAATTGGGTAAAACGAAGGCCTTCTACCTCATTTAAAATAAGAGATGAGAACATACCTGAATTTTAAGAAGGCAAGATTTTCTGTTGGGTAACATTATTTCTCAGAAAAGGATTTTCTTTTTGACAAATAAATATTTAGGGTTTTTTTTCCCTCTCCTTATATTGAGGGGTTATATTGTTAAGTCCAGACAATTAATAAAGAGGCTGGATATCAAATTAGGGTTTCGAAGATTTCATTAAGCTGAGCTCAGCGACCGTCTCCCCAGCTAAAGGAAAAACGGTACCCCAGACTCGAGGGTCTGATTTTTATAAGGCAGGGCTATATGCAAAGTAAGTTACAGAAGCTAA